TCGGTTGTTAACATCTCGATAACTTTTACTTTGTACTCCTCATCAAGTCAGTCAATTTCCGTACAGTTTTTGTTCATTCTCATGCATTTTCGTGAATTCCTTCTCTCCAGTACTTTTCCTCTCGGCCCAGCTCGAGCAGCGACACTAGTGAGTCCCTCCAGTTTCACTGCACACTGGAATTCTGAGTTCCTCACTACTATTTATCTATACTACAAACCCTACGCTCCACCATCCTCATTTACGCTTTTTTTGTGACCCTGATCACACCCCTATAGCCTAAGGCTGCGAAACCTAAGAAGAGTAACTCATTCACGGATTCACGAATTTAAACAGAGATTCGAGGCTTTCGCCCATGACTCTCGAGAGGGTTTTGTTATTTTTGGTTCAGTGGTCGTCGTTCACCTGGAAGGCACATGTAAAAAAAAGGTGTAAAACTGCTCTTTATGTTCTCAGCGCGAGGCAGTATGCTGTCCAGCGCGAGGATTCGCATAAATAAATGTCTAATAGTGCCTTAAACTGGGTTCTAGAAGGAGCGTGTACAACCGTCGGAGGAAGGTCATTCCACGCACCTACTACCCTAAATGAAAAAAGTTTTGTCTAATGAATGTGTGTGCCCTGAGCTTGAAGATTTTCTTACTATGTCCCCGCCGGGTGTTTGCTGGGTCAACGGTAAAAAACCTGTTTGCCAAGCTTTGTTNAACCATTCTCGTGGCGGCCCGCTGGACACGCTCAATGAGGGTAACGTCTTTTGTACGTCCTGAGTAGACAACTTGGTTGGCGTACTCCAGGCGCGGTCTGACGTAGGCCCCATAGAGTATTTGGAAGTCCATGCGAGTAATACGGGAGAAGGTACGTCGGATCATCCGTAAGAAGAACGCGGATGGCTTGTTTCTGTGGCGATGTCTCACGTATTTAAACAGTGCGTTTTTGTTTTTCCGAGCGAGGTCCACGATGGTGGCTCGTTTTCATATGTCCCATCGGCGGATTTCTTATTTAGGGCTGTTCCGCATTTTTGACAGAGTTGGGATCTCTTTTCCAGAAGTCGCCGAACCCTTTTTGGCAGCGTGCGACACATCCGATTGCGTGCTGGTTTTTGGGGTGCTTATCACGCCAGCCTCGTGAAATTTCTGAAAAATCATCCTATGTAAGTCTTCCATTGAAAGTGATCCCAGTTTAAATTTTTCATGAAAGACATATTCCAGATATGCCTGTACGGCGGAAGTCTCTAAACCGCGTTTGAGTTTCGGGATTTTTGGCCCAATGGCAGATGAAATCAAGGGTCACTACGCAGTGGTTTCTACGACACACTGGAGCGTTAATTATTATCTGACCAAAGAAATGTTGGTGATGACCAAATCCAGGAGCGGTGGTAGTTAGCCTGCGGGGTATCTGGCGGGTACAACGATATTTTGAGTTCAAGAGCTCTGGTAAACGACTTCAGACAGCACCGCTGCAAGAAGTCCACTTGGTCCGACGCGCTGCAGTTCCGTCCGGGAGGCGTTTGGAGCATTTAATTCACCTACCAGCAGGAGATGAATGAAGTGGTTGTTGCAGGAGGGTTGCTCAAGGGTTCGTATGAGGAATTGGTCATCCTCGGGGAGACTCGAGAGGCTACGGTAGGCCACAACGAGAAGGTGGAAATCAGACCCGCGCAATGATATTCAGATCCACAGTGCATCGCAAAAAGATGCAGGAGTGGTATCACAGAAGACAGTCGAGATTCGTAGCGCCGTAGAGCAACTCCACCAGCCCTACTGGTTTTGAGTTGAGTCAGCTAACGAAGTAACCCTCTATTGTCATCTACGCATCAGAGACATCTGGTGTGAACCAGTGCGATAACGCTAGTGCGATAACGGAACGGGCTTCAGGGCAAGCTGACAGTCTATTATCACAAATTTCTTTGGAAAGGCTTGGCAATTTTTCTGACAAGCATTTCAGCACTGCCTCCGCTGC